GAGAAAAAGAATTATAAACTTTTTAATCTTTTTAATCTTTTTAATTTTTAATTTATATATTTAATCTTTATTTAAATGATTTTTTGATAATCTTAATTTTTTTATATAATCATTATTTATTATTAATAATATACAATAAAAAATATAGGAGAAACAGGAGTATCTAGTACTTATATACCAATTTGTCAGAAAACTGTAACATATATTGTTGCTGCAGTAATAATAAATAATCAAGGAGAAATATTAATGATGCAAGAAGCTAAATCTACTTGCAATGGAAAGTGGTATTTACCTGCTGGTCGAGTTGAACCTAATGAAAATTTATTAGATGCTGTTAAAAGAGAAGTTTTAGAAGAAACAGGACTTATATTACAACCAGAAACATTGATATTAATAGAATGTGCAACTGGTTCATGGTTTCGATTTGTATTTACTGGCAAAATAATTGGTGGTAAATTGAAAACATTAGAAGAAGCAAATAAAGAATCATTGCAAGCATGTTGGATAAGTAATATAAATGATTTGACACTGAGATCACATGATATTGTATCTTTGATAGAAAGAGGTAAAATTTATATCATGAATAAAGATGTTTCACAACATCCGAATTTAATGCCGATTAGTACACCATTAAACAAATTATTATTACGGCTAATAATCACCTCAAAAAAAAAGCAACGTAAGTTATATTCATTTGAAACATACTTTTTTTAACTTTATTTTACACTAAAGTTTGAAATTTATTTTTAAATATATCACTGCTTATGCTTGATTCTTTAGTATTTACGCTTTCAGTAAGGTCACTGGTGATAGTTTTCATAACAGAACAGCAACAATCTGATTATGACTGTGAATATGGATGAAGGCTTAGGTTGGAGTATAGTAGGTACACTTACATGCACATGCACTTGTACATATACATTTATAACAATAAATATAATTTTTTATTTTTATCATTTTTGTTAAAACTCATAATACTAACAATTTAGATTTTTACAATTAAATCACAAATATCCTTAGATTTATTATTAATTACTATAATACATATAATATAATAATATAATAATAATATAAATTTTATTATAATATATATATTATGAAATTACTAATTATATTTTGTTATAATTATAAATTTGACTAATAAAAAATGTAAATAAATTAATATTTTCTTTAAAACATTTTTCTGTAAATAACACATTCAATTGTGCAGTGAAAATAATATTTATCAAAATTTACTATTTTATTATCTTTTTATTTATAAATTAATATATAATTATGTTATAATATATTTTATTAACAGGAATAAATTACATATTCTTGTATCAAATGCAATGCCATTTCATTTACCAATTTGTGAAATTAATCCAAATCGCAATCTTCTTTCGACTCTACATAATTTTATGAAGGTAAATTTTTATTTTAAATACATATTATATATTATTTTGATATAATGTAAATAATTTTATACTGTTATTTAATATAAATAATTTAGGAATTATTTGGAAATGAAGTAGCACAACATAAACCACATGGAGTACTTTCTCTAGAATTTAGTGGAGGACAAGGAGGAGATGGACTTTGTTTAACATTATTAGTATCATTTAAGTTACCTGTGGAAAATGTACCTGCTAATGAAAAATTTATTTGGTACGAATTGCCCGAAAATCTTGCTACAAGTATCACTCGTCGATTACCGCGAAATATGACTGTGCCTTTAAGTGTAATACGATAATCAAATATATAATCTAAGTGCACATTAGATGTGTATAATATAATTGCATTTCAGATTTTAATTTATTTTTTTAGAGATAAAAACATTTTGGATTAGCACATTATATTTTGATTAAAATTGTGCATTTAATTAAACTTTTATAATTATTTCCAAAAATATATTTTAAAATTTTTTAATTATTGCGTGTTATGAATTTTGTAATTGGAAACAAAATAATATATATACATGCACATATGCACATAATTTTATATATATGCATACACACTTTAGATATATTTATCTCGTATTAAAAGTATCTAACAATTTCTAATTTAAAAAATATTTATGTCACATATTTACATTTTTCCTAGTCTATACCAATGATTTTTTAACAAGAATGAATATATAACATTTTTTTTGACTTTATAATATTAATTAAATAATTAATTTTACATAATATAATATTATATATTAATACTTATTATATATAAGTTATATATATTAGTTTATTTTGTTAAAAAGAAGTTATAAAAACTTCCAGTTGTTACCAAAAATTATTGAAGATCTCTGTTTCAATTTTAAGAGTTATGTAAAAATTTTTATAAAAATAATCATAATCTAGAAAAATTGGAAAATTGAAACATTGTAGAAATTTATTTTTGTATATTACAAAAAAATATTCCAAATATAAATACGTAAAATATATATACATATATATAAAATTATAAAATAATTGTTATATTTAAACTCGAAAAATAATAATATAATACAATATATATATATTATATGTTATATTATGGAAATTATGGAAATGTATTGTATTTAATAACAAGAAAATTTGAAATTATTTTTAATGTTACTTAAATAACATTTTTTTTTAATTTTTTTGAGATCTTTATGTAATAATAAGCAATTTTTTATAGTATATATATTATTTATTAACAATGTAATAATCGAAATAAAAAATATTAATTATAACTTAATATAATTAAATTTAATAATTCTTGTATATCACGTAAATAAATACATTATTAACAAGTCAGAATTTTTATAGCAATTTATTTAATATTTTATTGAAAAGTACAGGATATGTTAAAAGAATGAATATAAAACATTTATATCAAATTTAAAAATTTTAAATATCACAGAATGTACATAATTATTTATACAAAATTTTTCAGTATATTTTCGATTTTTTTATACATAACAATAATAAAAATAAATTTTGTACAAAAAAGTATATATTTAATATATTTTTTCATATTACATTCTTTAAAATAGAATATATATAATAAGAGTTTTTTTAAATATTTAATATTTGAATAAGCATTACACATATGCATAAATAATAAAATAAAAAATTATTATTATATATATATAAATAAACTTATATAAATGCTTAATGTATTATATAAAATTGCACATATTTTTAATTATATTCATAATTATAACATGATTACATATTATATATTATCTAAGTAGATCTTACTTTTTATAATATAAAACTTACATATAAAAAAATATATATTTATATACTCATAATCATTGATATGATGTTAATAATAATTATTACAAAATTTAAACTCTGATAATACATTTTTACAGCAATTATAGTTATAAAATAAATTTATAAGTTGAACTATCATTAATATATTTACTCAGTATATTAAAATTTTTGTTGGTGGCAAAATTTTAATTATATTAGAATAGTTTACTATTATTTTATTCATCATTACTTTCATTTTTTATAGGAACAATATTGTTTATATTAGACATTATTTTAATATCAGTAGTTTGAGTTAATGGTAAATTATTGAATGAATTTCTAGTTGCATTAAGATTTACTGCATCACTCATTTCTTGTTTTTCATTGTTATCATATTGATTGTTAGTGTTAATATTTATAATATGTTTTTTCATATGAGTTGTTAAATTTCCACTATGATAAAAGTCTTTTCCACAAACTTTACATTGAAATGGTTTAATTCCAGAATGTATCCTTTCATGAATTGATAAATTTCCACTATGTCTAAATTCTTTACCACATACAGCACATTTATATGGTTTTATACCTGAATGAGTTCTTAAATGTGTTGATAAGTTTCCACTATGACTAAACATTTTTCCACATATTTGACAACCATAAGGTCTTTCACCAGAATGTGTCCTCATATGGATAGCTAAATTTCCACTATGGGTAAAACATTTCCCACATTGATTACATTTATAAGGCCGTTCTCCATTATGAGTTCTCATATGTATAAATAAATTACTTTTATGTCCAAATTCTTTAAAACATATTTCACATTGACATTTAAGTTTTTTTCCTACATTTAATTCTGAAGAATTTTTAGATGGTCTTCCAGGACGATTAGATTTTGTAGAAGATATAGGCTCAGAAATTGTTACTATTTGATTTACAAATTTTGTTGATTGTATATTGTTGATTTGAGGAAATTGTGATTGTTCAATTTTTTGAGTCATATCTATATGATGTCTTTGATTCATTTGATTCAAACTTTCTTCCTGATTAACTTGAAAAATTGTATTATTTTGTACATAATTTTTCATATATGCTAATGAATTATTTTCCTAAAATATTTAACATTTATGATTAGTTTCTTAATAGAATATTGCATAAATTATATGAATTTATATTTAGAATTATTTGAATTTAATATTAATAAATTAATAAATCAAATAATGTATAATTTTAAATGAAATTATATATTTTTAAATATTTATAATATTTATTGAAATTAATGAAAACCCACTTCAGTTTGAAATAAACTGCATTGACCATGGATTTGATTTTTGGAATGTATTTCATTAGATAACTGTGTATGATTCCAAAATTGTGATAATTCATTATATTTATAATCTTCCTCAATAAATGAATATTTGGAATTATTTGGAGTATTAACTTTATCATCAGAGTTAACATCTTCTATTCTCATACATTCATGTTTTATTTGTAGAGGATGAAACATCTATACATGTACATATATTAAAAAATAATTAAAATTAATAATATTTTTATGATATTTATTGAAAATAATTAGAAGAATTTTAATTTATTAATTGATTTATCAAAATAAAAAGGCTATATTTCAAAGAGAAGATATTTTTTTAATTAGAAATTCAAAATTATTAATATTGAATAATTATTTGCAAGACAAATAAATAAACATTTAAAATTTATATAAAATACACGTACATTTAAAAAAAGATATTTTAAAAGTAATAATCACTGCGCTATAAGTTTCAATTCTTCATAATTTAGTCAAAAAATCAATTTTAAAACAAACAACATGACTGACATACACTGTCACTTAAACACATTTATTATATATATATCTTATGCAAAGAAGTAATTACTTATAAACATTTTTGTAAAATATCAATATATCAAATAATTAAAGGGCTGTTTTATTACATTAAAAAGTTCAATTTATTTCATAAATAATGTAAATTTTTTATATCATCAAATAGTGCCATCTAGGAAACTACTATCTTTTGGAGGGTTAAATTACTAATTTTTGAATTTTATTAGCTTTTATGCTTAACTAAATATTTTAAGTACTTTTAAATTTAAAATAGATTTAATATACACATTAATGTATAATAAATCTTAGAATAAATAATATAAGCAATTAGAAGATAATTCTACGTAAAAAAATAATTAAAGAAAAAAAATAAAATTTCTTTTATTTAAGATTTCAATTTCAAATAGATTAAAATTAAAAATTTTATTCTATAATTATTATTTATATAAAATTTATTATAAAATCAATAAAATATAAAATATGTATAATATATATGAATAAAATTCAATATATAAATATTTATAAATATTAATATATATAAATTTTTCAAGAAATCATTATATATATTCATATCTTTTTTATAATCTTATTTATAAAATGTCTTTATATCTGTTATTTTTTTTAATTATTTGATTAAACTATAATTTTTAATTATATTTATAAAAACAATATATAAATAGTATCTTTTTTTTCTTTTTATCTATAATATCAAGTATATTATAAAAATATTCTATAAAGAATAACATGTTAATCATTTTATTTTTGTTATTTTTATTTTAAAAAATGAATATATACATGAAAGTTTATTTAAAATCTAATAATTTTAGTTATATAAATAAATTAATAATATATATAATTATATATTTTTTTTAATCAAATTTATAATTTACTCACTTTCCGTATAGAGTGCGCTATTTATTATCGTATCATCGTACTTCAGGAATTCTATTTTATTTTACAAATTAATATTCTAGTATATCGTATATATAAATAATATATATAAATATATAGTATATATAAATCATATATATATATATATATATTTTATTTGTGTACAAAACAAAGCGTAAACACTTGTATCGATTAATCTCGTATATATGAGAAATTATTGATTTTTATGTTTCTTTTGTTATTAAAAATAATGTTATATTAATACTCTTAAAAGAAAATAAAAATAGAAAAAGAAGTAAAAATATATATAAATTTAAGTAGATAAAAATTATATTCTATATATATATAGATAACATATATATATAGATTTTGAATATTATATCTCTTATAATTGTGCAAAAATATAAATTGAAATACAACTTTGTTAATTAATGACTATTAAATCCAATTATATTGTTATAAAAACCATTTTTTATTTAAAGGCAATTAAAAACACCAAATAAAAGCAATAATAAATTATAATAAATTAGAATAAATATCTGAAATGTAAACTCATACATTATGCCTAGTGGAAGACGTAATGCAGCTAGTAGAAATGGACAAGCTAAAACTCAAACTAATTTTACTATGTCTTCAAATAATGGTATCCGAAGTAATAGTGGAGAAAGAACAGCAGGTAGTGGTGCAGATGATAAAAAATCAGAAGAACCTTGTGGAATAAAAGCATTGGTACCAAAACATGTACCTATACCAATTGTACCTGTGGATGGTCATTTATCATTTGAAGCATTATCTTTAATTATATCAATTATTGCAGCTTCTTTGCAAATGCTTAATTTATATAGAAGTGTATGGTGGTTACCTCATTCTTATAATAATTATAGTATGGTATGTAATTTAAAATATTTTATATTCAAATCAAAATTCATATTTTTCATATTTTTACTTCATATTATATTTATTTTATATGTATTAATAGAAGCATATAATTAAATTTTATTAATTTTTCAGAATTTCTATTTAATAGATCCTTATTTACTTATATTTATTATAACTATGGTAGCAAGGCAATTTATTTATTCTTTATTGCGTCGAATTATTGATATTTCATCACCAATTCGTTGGTTATCTACTGCTCAAAAAATGATGAGGTATACTTTGCTATAAATTATATTTGTATTTCAAATAAATTATATTTGTATTTTAAATAATTCTAAATATTATTTATTTTACAGGATAACCTTGTTAATCATTGTAATGAATATATTGTGTTGGTGTCTTTATCATATGGCTGAAAGACATAACTCAATGAAAATTTTTTATTTATGTTATCCGTTTGTATTATTTTATTAAATTATAATTTTTCATTATAATACATTATATTAATTTATATGTGTAATATATATGATATGAAATATCAGAAATTTTTATTATGCATATTTTGTTTCAGAAGTTTATCTGTATATTTTGTAATGTTTGGTATAAGTGCAGCACCTTTTTTTGATATATCAGCAATACCTTTATATGGCAAAGATGAAAAAAAACAAAATTTCTAATGGGTATATATTTTACATATTAATAATAACTATAATTATTATTATATTTCTAAGTTGATTTATTTATACATTTATAAAATATATAATTTTTTTCTTTTATAGATAAACCTTTACATAATTGTTCATTAAATGCATCGGCAATTAGAGCAGAAGTTTCAACATTAAGATCTGATTTTAATCGTCGTTTAAAACGAGCTTTATTTGCATCCTCTAGTAGTGCTTATGTATGTGGTATTGCACCTATCATATTTGTACCTCAACATTTACATTTTAATGTTTCATGGGTTGTGCAACATGTTATTATGTTTTGGCTTGAAAGAATAAGTGCTCATTTTACACATGCTTATCCTGTCAGGTATGTATTTATATGATCTTATCATGACCTTATTTATATAAACTTATATTTCATATAAATTATATAAGTTTTATAACAATTTTTTTGTTGTCTGATGAAGAATGTTGTATTAAACAATATGAATGTTGTATTAAAAAATTCATTTCCAGAAATTTGATGAATACTGTAATTATTTAGGTATTGTGATGTTTTACATAGAGCAGCATTACATCTTGGTCGATGGGTTAAAATTGAAAATCGAAATAGTCACACTTATGCTCAAGCCTGGAATGATTCAGTGTTATGGCCTCATGGTTCAGTTGTTAGACATAACAAAGAAATTTATCGTTCAGAAGGTTTATGTACTGTGGCAGAACCAGGAAATTCAAATCATTATAGATTTTATGTATGTGATAAACATTAAATTATTTCATTAAAAATTTTATTTTAATTACATTTATGAATTTATTATGAAAATTGTAAATTAACATTTTAATTATTTTATATAGGCCTTATTTAGTAATCCCACAATGTTACTTTGTTCAATGTTGGGCTTGCAGCTTCTTCTTGTATGTGCACAATTATTTATTTTATTACGCACAACTGATTGGTATCAAGTATTATCAATAACATTGCTTCTTCTGATTAACTATTATACTTTATTTAAAATTATTAGAGATTATCTTATTTGTTGGAAAGTATATCATGCTGAGCAAATAATACAAGAAAAATCGCAAATGATTGCAAATTCTAGTGTACAATAAATAAAACAAATTTTTAAAAAATGTTTGCATTATTATATTTATCATTTTTCAATATTAATTAATTTACTATTTTTATTTTATTTTAATTAATTTTAAATTATAATTCTTTTAGAATTTTTATCCCAAATTCAAATTAAAAATAATTTTGATTCCCCTGGCAAAGATATTCTTGCTATTTCAAATAATGGATATACAGTAATTCAGTTCTATGCAGACAATTCAGGTATATAGTTTATATTTATCTCTAAAAAATTCTCTAAAATTAAAATGTTTCAAATATATTTAAAAATGTTTGAAATATAAATATTATAGATATTTTAAAATGTTAACATTTATCATTTATTATTTATTATTATTGATAAAATTAAACGATATTTTTTTTCAAGGATATTGGTTACTCCATTGTTACTTCATTTATTATCAAATAATTGGTATGGAGATAGTTCTTAATGTTGGAGAACGAAATCATTTACCTGTACCTTCTCATTTTCCAAGATGTCGTAATTACAAACCTGAAATTAGGTAGGAAATACGAAAATGAATTAAATTGAATAATGAAATAGATATTTTGATAAATTGTATCTTATAATTTTATTTTAATAAATTAAATTGTACTAATTCGTAATTATTATTTTTTTAATTTTGTTTTTAAAATATTGTAAAAGAACATATCTTTTATAATATTATAAATAAGTATCTTTGTGAAAAAATAATTTTTTTTTTTCATTTATTATGAAATTATACAATATATAAAAGAATTTATTCACATATAAATTACATAGTACAATATAATTTTATTATAATAATATTTTCTATTGCATAAATTAAGTTATTAAAAAATATATTTATCTTTTCATTTTTGTTTTTCAATTGCATAATAGCTAATATTTATTCTGATTTAAACTTAATATTAATTGTATTTTTAATTATAACTTGTATTTTAATTATAACTTTTTATGATTTATATGAATGTAAACAGGATATCATCGTTGATGCTATAAACATTAATAAGACAATCCATATATTTGGATTTACTTGAGATCCTATATTCCAACTTTTTATCTTCTCTTTTATCCAGCTTTCATAAGAAAGTACACTGGTATACACATCGGGAAAATTTTTCGCGCATGGTATACCGAAGGAAACGATTCCCACTTCTGTGCCATTTACGACTAAAGGACCGCCAGAATCGCCCTAAAACAAGAAATTTTGAATACAATAAATTTACAATAAATTTAGAATATAATCAGTATTAAATAAAAATATGTTATTCGAATATGATATCATTCATTAATGATTAAGAACGAAAATTTATGTTATTTTTAAGAACAGGGATTTAATATTTCAATTCTTAGATTTTCAATAATATAATATTGAAAGTATAATTTAAAGAATGAAACAACAATAATACACAATTAAAAATATTAAATACCAATCATAAAATATTTTTCACAAGAAAATTGAATTCTATAGAATTTTAATAAGAATTTGAAGTTTCATAAAATTTGATTCTGTTAAAAGAAATACTTGTATTAAAAAGAAATATGTGAAATATTAAAAATGCAAAGCATAACAAAATTTTTCATTATTTAAAGTACTTAAATAATATATAATGGATAACTTACCATACAAACTCCTTCGTTTATCTTATTTAACGTGCATATATTATCTTTCATTGTTCTATTATATATATATTCGCATTTTTCTTGCGATATTACAGTCAGATTTAATACTTGCAATGCACGAGGAATTACAGGTTTTAATCCATCCTATAAAAAATATTAACATACATTTTAATAAAACTATTCAATATTTTAATATTTCTAAATTATTCATTATAGTAATAAATGTTTTCGAATAGAACTCATATATATTATAACAAAATACAAATAATTATATTTTATCATATAAAAAGTTACTTTTGTTCATATGTATAATTTATATTTTAAAAACCACTTACTAATTGTCCCCAACCAGTTAGCACAGCAATTGTATTTTCAGGTGTATAATTCGATGCAAGTGAAATCGGCTGAACATTTTTATTATATTTTATACGATTTTTTACACGTATTAAACCGATATCATTTATGATCATGGTTTCATTATAATTTTCGTGCCAAATTATTTCCTTAACAATATAAATAATACCAGAAAATAAATAATTGGTTCCAACAGCAACTGTTATTTCTGATGATTTTTTGCTAGAAGTATGAGATTAATGAAAAACTAAATAATAAAAACTACTTTGCTATTATTCTTTTTTCATTTTTTTAAATTTCATAATTCAATATTTTACTTTATGATTTTTCAATAGTAAAAATAATCTATAACAAGTATCTATAATAAATTTTAATATATATAATATATATATATCAAATGATTATTAATAATATTTTAATCATTGTAATATTCCAACAAAAATAGATGTAAAATTAACATAAATTGATTTTTTAATTATTATATTTTTAAAGCAATTTTTTTTCTTATAGATTTTCTTACCGATAAATACAATGCGCAGCAGTAAGGATTGTATAATAATTAATAATAGATCCACCACATATATGATAATTGTTTAATCTAATTGATACTTGATAAGGATATTCACCATCTCCAGCATTATGACCGCCCACTATACGTGGAATTACAGATTCTGAAATTAAAAACATATTATTAAAAATATTATTAAATATTATATACTTACAAATGGAATTTCAATTTAAAATTAAGAACGTAATTTTTTTACTATTTCTATTATTATTTTATTATATTGTTTATGTAATTAAATATTTTTATAATATATTTTTAGATTTAAAACAAATAATTTTTTAAAAATTAACTATTTCAAATATCTTGAAAATTTACCACTGGTCACGTCAATAATTAAAACTGTAATTAATAAATGATAAAACGTCATGACGATAAAAATCAAAATCTATACTATTTGTTAATCTAATATTTTCATTATACTGATACTTTAACAGACATTTATAAAAAGTTATCTTATTCATTTTAAAATTCTCCTTTATATATTTCTTATAAAAATGTTTTAAATAAGATATCTAAATAATCATATCTAAATAAGATATGAGTGTGTCTATAGATAGATATTAAATAGATTAAAAAATGGATGTTAAGAATAAAAAAAATTATTTTAAGATTACAAAGTTTTAGATAAAAATGATAAACAACTTAAAATAATCGATCAACCGATTGTTTATAAAAATAATCTATATCATTATAAATCAAATTTCATATATGTATTCTATATTACAAATATATATTTTCATTATTTTAAAATGTAATAAATTAATTTACACATCTAGAAAAATAGAAATGAAATAAAGAAGAAAAAATATCTATATATCCATTCCATGAAAGCAATTTCAAAGATTAATAAGAAGAATTCTGCATCAATTAAGCATACCAAAATTGCAACAATTAAACGTATTATAAATATAATATTTAATAAATCAAATCATCAATCTTAAAAGTTCCAACTTCATTGGAAATTTTTCAATATAATCTTTTATTTTTATATTTATAATTTATATCAAGATTTGATAGAAAAAAAGA